GGCGCCCCAGGGCACCCCGGCCGGGACGCGGGCCGCCGGGGACGCTACGCGGGCTCTTGCAGGTGGCTGCCGGGCGCAGCCCCGCCAGCCGCCTCGGCTCCGGCCACGGCCATTTTAACGGACCAGGCCCCCGGATGAGGGCGGGCGGGCCCCGGGCTGACGCCCCGCCCCGCCCCGGTCCCGGCGAGGTCCCGGCCCGCTCTGGGGTGCCCACCGGAGAACCGTCGCGCTCAGCGCCTCCCCGAAGCGCCCAACGCCCCACGCCCGCCTTATCGCACCGCGCAGGTGAGCGAGCCCCTGCAAGCCCTTATCGGCGGCCCCCAGCGCGGTCACGCCCCGGCCACGCCCCCAGGACCGCCCCCGCGCGGTCCCCGGAGACGCGCACCTGCGCGCTCACTGCCGCTGCGCTCCTGCGAGGGCTGCGCACCGCCCCGGCTCAAGCCACGCCTCTCTGGGCCTCAGTTTCCTAACGTGCAAAAGAGGATTTGACTAGGAGCAGCAACAGGGGCGAATTTAGAGGCCCGGGCGGCCCCAGAAGGGCTACCCACCCGGGGCACACCTTGGTCTGGGGCCAAATCTGGGTGTGATTTTCATGCCCACGCTACTCTGCAAAGCCCCGCTACTCCGTGCCTCAGTTTCTTCCTGGGCAAACTGAGCTCCAGTACCCTCAACCACATGAAGGAATTTTTATGTAGATCTTTTTTTTTTTGGTAAATCTTTAATAATAGTTTTAAAATCCTGGTGTGATGCACGCCCGTCACCTCAGCACCAGGGAGGCTAAGACAGGAGGATCTTGGCAAGGTGAATACCACCTAGGCTACATAGTGAGATCTTATCTCAAAATACGTACAATAGTTTTTTTTAAAAGTCTTTTTAAATACGAAAAATATGAGAAATAAATGTAAATTAGGGGCTGGCGAGATAGCCCAGTGGTCTAAAGCACCGGTTTAGGCAAGCTTAGGCAGGCGCAGGGGACTGTGGCACCACATGCTGTTCCAGCCCCGCCCTAAAGGTGGACTGAGCCGTTAATAAAATAAAATTTGATATAGTTCCTTTTATAAAAAAAGAAAAAGTAAATTAAGAACAAAGAAGCACACACGAAAAAAGAAAATGTGGTTTATATCAGAAGAGCTGTAAAACAAATTAATCCATCTACCTCATGAGGCTGTGGGAGGAGAGCCAGGTTCAGTCCAGGCAAGTGTGGAGTGTGGCATTTGAAGGACAGTTAAGGCCTAGCAAGAGCTGAGCAACGACAGTGAGGCGACCGTTGAAGACCCTGAAAGGGTGGCCTCTAGTGGCCATCCCGGGCATCTGTCCCCGGCCCTCCCAAAATAGAATCTGAGAGCCCCTCATGGTGGCGCAGGCCTACCGTCCAAGCCCTCGGGAGGGTGAGGCAGGAGGATTGCTGTGACTTGAGGTCTACCCAGGGGCCCAGGAGATGGCTGAGTGGAATAAGCGCTTCCCTGGCAAGGAGAAAGCAGCTCCCTTAATAAGCCCGCTCCCTGCACTCCCACCCCCCCACTGGTAGCTGAACCTGAGGGTCTTGTGCTTGCTATTCACTGAAATCCTGCTCTTCTGCTGCCCTCTTCCTCATGACCTTCAGGTCTTTATTCAAATATCACTTCCAAACTGGGCATAGTACACACACCTGCTATTCTATCACTGGGAGGTGGAGGCATGAGGATTTCAAGTTCAAGCCCAGCCTGGGATTTTTTTTTTTTTAAACATTTATTTATTTATTTAGTGTGTGTGTGTGTGTGTGTGGCCAGCTCAGCCCACCAGGGGG